GTTATTCCAAGAGGCATGGATCGGATCATCGACGAGATGTATGGCGAGATTAATAACCCCGAGGTTGCTACCGACGAGTATTTCGCTAACCGAACGATCCTCACGACCACGAACGCAATCGTGCACCGCATCAATGAAGTGGTGACCGATCGATTAACTGGACAGGCGCGGGAATACATGTCTTCCGACTCTGTTCAAGACGACGGTGACGGCAATTTCTTCGAGCAGGAGGTACTCCACTCGATGAATATTAGTGGAATGTCTCCCCACAAGCTGACTCTCAAGGTAGGAATGCCTATCATGATGATGCGGAACTTAAAACCAGATCTAGGGTTGTGCAACGGAGCACGGCTTCGAATCGTGGCCCTTAAGCCACATGTCATCCACGCCACAATCATGACAGGTGAGCGACAAGGGCAACATGTTTTGATTCCCCGCATTGTTTTCATCAGTGATGGAGACATTCGAAGCTTTCCATTTCAATTGAGACGCAAGCAGTTTCCTGTCCAACCGGCCTTTGCTATGACGATTAACAAGGCGCAAGGACAAACGGTGCAGTACTTGGGGCTGTATCTTGCTACGCCTTACTTCTCCCACGGGCAGCTGTACGTTGCGATGTCGCGAGTTACTTCAAGATCAAGATTCAAGGCGCTGGTCGAGGACCCAAGGCTGGAGGAGGAGGATGGGGTCTATGCCCAGAACATTGTCTACAGGCAGATCTTTGGTTGAGAGTAGGAATGTTCAATTTCATATGCATTTAATACATCACGTTTACATAAATCATGTTTACGCCGGAGCGTAGCGAAGGCGGGAACCCATTTCTCCTTGGACTAAAACCTGCCACCTCCGCCGCGTAGCGGCGGCGAACGGCTAGTCTTACCCCCCCTAGTGGAGTCTGACGTGTGTCTGTTCGTACGTCCGTCCGTAACGGGCTAGGGTTCTAAAATGTAACGCTAATACGCGCGTTCTACTGGCTGCCGAGCGCAGCGAAGGCGGCCTCGATTCGCTCAAGAGCTGTCGAGCGCAGCGAAGGCATTGGCTAAAATCGGTATTGTTTTTTTTACACACTTTATGTGGACTACACATCGTACTTAAATGCGCCGCTTAAGTTTCATTTTGCTCTCATTTTCAGCTGCGGTATGCAAGGCCACGCAAAGGGCGCTGCCTGTGTACGCGTTAGTTAGCATACTTAAAAGGCGCCGATAAGCACACACGTACTATATCGCCGTAGGAGCTGCTGAAAAAAGTGTAGGCTTTGGTGACTTATATTTCGGCCTCAATCGAAACTTTAGTACTTATTGGATATAGAATGATGTTTTAGGCTTCGTAGTACTGCTGTACTAATTTAACTTACAATAATTTTTTTCTTAGTACTACTATCAAGGCATTTCATATTTTTGCTTGCGGTCATTTGTAGTAGTAGTACACATAATAATTATATCAGCGTTTAATAATAAATAACAGTTGTATTAATATAATTAATAATGTGAAAACTTTAAAATATGACTATTGTAGCTTACACCCCTGCACCCCACACTGCACCCGGTAAAAAGTACCATCTTCTTTTGTAGTAGTGTTATTGTGCAAACTTTCCAACATATATATGTAGCGTACAGAAAAATGGGAACAGCGTTTGTGATTAAGTTAGCGCGGAGGCACGTGACTAAGCAAGAACACGAAAACGAAGTAACACCGACCCACACTATGTACACGATGGGATAGAAGAGCAACATGAAGCACGGAAGGGTGGACGGTGACAGAAGACTTAGCTGATGCAAACCACAAAGTTGTATGGGTAGCGTGACAGGCGGAAGAGCACACAGCCATGAAAAGGACAGAAGGACAAGAATATGACGGGAGCGTACGGGCCACGGAAAGGAACTAATTATGTAGACACACCAGCATGCTAAAAAGGGTGGCTACGGAAGAGTACGCACGCTCGAAGCACGTAGCGGTAAGAGTGCCCTGACAGCAACTCTCCCATAGCACCACGGTAGAACACGGAGCACAGTCGCCCAACCAAGCATGAAGCCGCGGTATACCATGAACGAAAGATCATCCTAGCATTGGAGAATGATATTAAGGTAGAATTGGAGCTCACCGAGTCCCGGAGTATGATACTACGGAAGCTAACAGCCTCACGGACGACAGACCAGCCGCGACACCACAAGCTAGCACGATAGCATGGGCTGTGCCACTAAGCCGTGGGCGAACGCAGCCGCAGAGCTATAGACGTAAAATCACCGTGCCGCGGAGAACGATACCAGTGTTGAACCTGAGCTTACCGAGCCACGGAGGACAGTACTACATTAGAACTAGATTGCACGAACGGCGGGTCAGCCACGAAATAAACGGGGAGGTGGGCGCTTGGGGTGACCACGACTGCACACTGTGGAGCACGTTGCCATTGTAGAACACGATAACACGGACAACGCAGATACACTACGTGAGCACAACACCATAAACAGCATTACCACACCGTGATTGCACGATAGCGTGATACCGCAGTCGATGGAACCTCACCTGGAGAGCACGATACACGGGCGACGAAACAACACGACTGCATGAAGTCACCAAACTACGGAATAGCACACTTCGGCTAGAGCACCGGCGATGGGAGGCTAACGGCCACGAAATAGTATGTACCATGAAACCAGTGCAACCCATATAAACGTTTGAGAACAGAGAAAAGTTAGCATTTACGTAAAGGCCGTACTAAAGCGCATGAACCCACAAGAGAGAGGACATAACCGCTGAGCAGCGTGGGCCATGGGTGAGCAGGAACCACGAAGCCGGGAAGAGCACGAAAGAGCATGGGTCATTAAAGAAAACAACACCCAACCTGTAGTACGGGGTAACGGAAACGTTCCAAAACACGATATTATACGGGGCCGAATGAGACTACGGAAAGGCAAGTGGTTAAATACACGATGCCAAGATCTACGGGGTGAACCACGTTCTCAAAACACGCGACACTAAGAAGCACTTATAGCTTTCAGTGAGTTTTGTGAGAGAAGTTAGCAATTTTTAGTTACTTACAAGCTCAAATAGGCAGTACAAGAGAGTAAGAAGTGCAACCTGGATAGATCATTACTGTCCTTTGGATTGATGCGGGCTAAGTTTCACAGCGCCTCAGAACGGCCCATGATATCGAGCACGACGCCAAGCTAAATATATTCAATATCGTTTGTAGACATGCTATTTGAAGTGCTGGTGATTCTTGTGTTGGGCACATACTCGCCGTTAATGCCAGCACGACACGGCAAGCATGTGCCCGAGTCAACACGGACTGTATGATGCTCTCTAGGTAAACCTATCAAACCTCATGAAAATAGCGATGACTGACGAATGTCACGCCAGTACTTATGTAGTAGCCAACAATAATAAAGAAACTGTGTCAAGATCACCAGAATGATCATTTTTAAGCATGGAAAGTGTGATGCTAGGGGCTCAGTATTTTGTAGAAATAATTGCACGGCTTACCAGCATTTTGTAGCGACTGGTCTAAATTAAACCCAGAATTATGAAATTCATAAAGTACATAGGATTTCATATCTTTTGAAATAAATATCCCGCCGAAGCGAAGCGGAGGCGGCAAGTAGAGCTAAACCTAAACTACCGCCGCTACGCGGCGGCGCTCGGCTAGTTTTTTATGATTGTAGTTATTATCCGGAACGATGTGATTTTTCTTGAGAAGCCCCAGACCATAGCCAAGATATTTTGACCCTGGGTGGGTTTCTCTGTACACAAACCGACGATATTATGAGCATACGTGAGCTTTGCAAGTGTTTCCCGTCTCAGCGCATCAAGATCAATTCGTACGGCGAGTCGCGTTCGTCTCTTGGTATGGCGGGAGTTCTGCAATAAGCAATGGTGTAAGTCCATTAACTAGACAGCCCAATGTTGAATAACTCTCACCGATTCTTTGCCTTGGCAGGCGTCGTCGTCGCTGTACAGTGGAAACAATCGCGGCTTACGATAGGCGTCGGATCGAGTGGCGGTATTGCTGTAGCATGGGCATGAGGAAGTGAGCCAGCCGAGTGTACAGGTTTCAAGCAAGAGGCTGGCTGCATATTTGAAATGCTGGCTGTGCTGGCGTGCGCTCGATTCCAAATTTGATCTCGTCGATATCTCCGAACAGCGCGATCATGTAGCCCAACAGGCTTCATCAAAGGCACTGGACGAGGACGGAGACTTGCAAGTCCATTCGCGGGATTGTCGATGTCTATTGCGAGCCCTCGCTACTTCGACATTCCAAATTTGCAACACCGGAAATTATTAGCGAAGCTGCTGTGAAGACCGCTTTATCGAGGTTACCGTTAGTGCTGCTTCCTTGGAGCTTGCGTCTACAACGACTCTTGTTAGAACGCTCTACCTCTCCATTTTTCGGTAAGAGTTGATCTGAGTACCTCGTGCCAATTGCGTAAGGCGGAATTGCGAAGCGTGGAGATCCATCATGACTTGTTCGTATCTCTCGATCCACATGCGGACCTCGCGATCTTTGACAGATAACTTACTGGGATAATTTCAGACGAGTTAGGACAAACTCACGTTCGAGTTGGGTGTTCGCACCGTTTGCAGTCCAGCAACTTGAGCTGCGTGCTCTCAAGATCCTGATGAGTGATGAGAAAGTCTTGCTCAGCTTTCTGCAGATATGCGGCGACGTTATCAAGACACCGGCAGTTTCAGTAGATCACGAATTTAGTAGATCAAACCTGTAGCAGCTTGGCACTACACTTCGCTGTGGCACGTAGGCCAACCAGCTCCGCATCTTTGTGAGCGATTTCTACGTTCACCTGGTTGATACCTTGTGTAGTGGCAGACTAGCAAGCCCGCATACATTGGAACTCTACCAAGACCTACACAAATGCAATCACAAACACAAATTTAAAAGCGAAATGTGTTAAAATATATGTCGAATTTGTGATATGTCTGCTATCATACCAAAATCAACACTTTTAACGTTATGGGTACATGTACGCGGGCCATTCACCTTTTTGATGGCTAGGGCCCAGCGACTTGTGCTAGCGAGCGAGCACCGGAATGCGCGTTTAAAGAAGCAGGTGATGTTGATTCTACGGCTGCGTTGTATGTACTCTTTTGATCGTAATGTTCTAACAGTTGCAGCGCTAATTGATCCTGCTAAATCGCCCTGGCACACGTTGTATGCTAGTCGAGATCGTGGGAGCTTTATATCAGTTGTCTCCCTTGATCATGAGGCATTTGATTGCTTGCTACAGGTGTTTAGCGTGCATTACGTAGTTAAAAGCGGCGTGGGCAAGCCAGGGCGGCCCCCAAAGTTCATTTCTAAGCACGCTGTGTTAGCTTGTATATTGCACTTCTATACAGCAGCCATAGAGAACAAGACGCTGTGCGAACTTTTTGGTGTCCCTCAAGCTACCCTATCTCGAGTCCTAGCTAATGCAGAGGCCGCGCTGTGTGCGAGTCGGAAGGTTCTGCCCGACGCCAGCATTCGCTTCCCCTCTAAGGAGTAACAAGTGGAGTGGGCAAGGCTCACGCAAGCTAGAGAGCCACTAATCCAAGGAATTTGGGGGTTCGTCGATGGCAAGAATTATCGCGTGCAAGAACCTACAAATGCGGACCTTCCGAACGCTCACTACAATGGTACGTACAATGTATATCTATTTGCAAACTGGTGCTAATATTCAGTCTTTTATACTGGCAGGTTGGCTACACAGTACTTTGGTGACCGGTACTCTCTGCTATGGTGTCGACGGAACCTTGGTATGGGGCCGTCATAATTGCCCAGGCTCCTGGAATGACGGCGAAACGAGCCGGCAGCTGCAAGCAAAGCTATCAAACCCTGCGTTTACCGTTCCTGGAACTGGTGTCGCTGCTGACTCTGCTTTTCCTGTAGCTAATGAGGCAGTTGGGAAGATCATTATCCCACTAAAGGACGGCGACCTGGAGCGTGCGTCGCCCGAATGCCACTTGGCTTTAATGGCTCTACACAAAGCCATTACATCACTTCGCCAAGCTGCTGAATGGGGAATGGGGTCGGCTTCAAAATGCTATCGCCGGCTTCTACTTCCGCTTCCATACAATGCAGACAAAAGCCAAATCCGTCTGGACAACATTTACAGGCTTTATAACTTTCGCGTGCGCCGTACTGGCATTAGTCAGATTCGTTCAGTCTTTCAATAAAAAAAAAACTTGCTCGGCTTCAGTTTGCATCTCTATTCGCTGTAGCGTAATTCTGTGTAGTCAAATCTACTTCTTACCAATTACAGCAGCAAGCATAGTCATGAGCATTTCGTGACGTTGCGATTCGCGTTCGGCACGCTCGGTCTCACGAATCTCTCGTGCCTCTTGAGCACGAAGTCGCTCAGCTTCACGTTTTTCTTCACGGGCCTCCTTTTCCTGACGATATTGAAGTTCGCGTTGATGGGCACGCTCTTCCATGGCAAAGAGCATCTGCGGCAGCTCCGTGTTTGGCTGCGTAAGCTGCTGTAGCATGCCGTCAATTTTCAGACGTGTCTTTGCTGTATGTGACATAGTCACGTTCTCGTCACGCTGTCGTTTCAACGTCTTACTCATTTGCGCTAATTCCACTGGTGTTTTGCCGGTGCGTGCGGAAGCTTTGAGATCTACCACATGCCAATTGTATTATCAATTAGTAAAAACAAGAAATCCACCAAAACATTAAATCATCATGTGCTTAATTACCTTGTCCAGTACTCGATTTAGGCTTCGCAGTCGGTTCACTTAGAGAGGCGTCAGAGCCCGCGCTAGCTCCATCTTCTTGCTCGTCGAATGTTTCCTCAACATTCCCACCAATCTCACCTGCATCGATGCCGAAGTAGGGGTTCATACTGCCTCCTCCGGAAATGGCTGCTGTTAGGCACGAATCAGATGCGAGATTGTGGGTCTCGGTGGCAAGCGGCTCCGATGAAATGGTTTCTTGTTCGTCATCATCTAGCTGCAACACACTGCACTTGCCCTCGATTTCTCTAAAGACATGCTTCGCTCGTCGAATCTCTGGGGGACACGACGGATCCCCTACATAGCAAAGTATACGTATAAAGATGAATGATGGTATTACAGCACACACAGGCCTCACTCACCTGTTGGCTTTTTAGCATTCTTCAACGCGTAGAACTTGCGACGTAACGACTCTGAGTCGCGCTGCGGCCACTCAGCAGGCAGGTTCCGATTGTATGCGTAGTGGACATCATCCCATTGAGCCGATCCGAGAGGGAGAATCTGCTCGACGAGAGATAAGAGGCCTGCAATAGTGAAAGCAGCGTTAAAATCAATCATGAGATCCTATTTGTGACGCATTACGTACGTTCAACCTGAGGCGTAGTGAAGCCCCGTCCTCTTCCAGCAGTACGGCGGCTCATTGTGTGAGCTGTTGTGTCCCAAAGCAAAACTAGAAGTGGGCTTGACTGGATACCGATAGCTGTACCAGAAATGAGGTACGAACGATTTTGCGTCGACACATTTTGTGGAGACGAGAAAAACGCCTCAGCATTTTACTACCGATTTGTGACAACAAATACGTCACGGCTTTGTCAGACGCAAAAATCGAGTTTGTGTAGGTTTTGGTAGAGCTCCATTGTCATGAGATACCTTTTTATAACTATTTTCTTAAGTACGAGCCCAGCGTACTTGTAGGCTACTACTACATATATTAATAGTAGTACTAGTAATCAGGTGTCAGCTACCGGTATTTAACAGTATACCAGTACAACAGAAATTCGCGCTTTTGTGACTGTACCATCAGGAATGTATCACTTTCCGTAGGAATCATTATTCCATTACAAGGGGACTGTCGCCTTTGTCGTCAATCAGCGTGAAGCTCTGGAATTTTTTATACAAAACTTGTGTCTAATGTCGATGCTGGACTCTTAAACATATTTTTTTTCAGATAGATCGACCAGTGTGGACCTTAATATTTTCTGTCTTAGTTAATATTCAATACCCTAGTTTCAAGACTTTCAAAGTGCAATGAAATGCCTTTTGTGGGTGCGCTCTTGTTGCAGTCGAGGTAAAGTGCCCTTTAAAGCACTTTAGCATGTCAGATACGCGCCAAATTTCTCACAGCGAATACCAGTACTTAAAAAAAAGTACACCAATACCTCCATGGGTTTCTGCACGCCGTGCTCTTCTTGTGGTTCTCGAGGATTTAATCCAGTGCATCGAGCCATGATCCGTGTGTACCAAACCTAATTACTGAAGATTTTCTGAGAGCATGTGATATTTTTCTTTGACTCGCAGTATTCTACGAAACGAGCATTTCCAATTCATTTAGATCGATGCCCCTACCAGAATCTAATAATGGCGTTAGTATCGCGGCCACCGTCCCACCTAGAAAAGCTAGGCTCACTTCTATTTCTTGGCCTCTTGCAGCTTCAAAAAGAGTTGATACTCTCTACTTAACTCCTTGAATTGACTATTGTTCTCCACCCCAAGCAGTTTTTCAACGTACCAATTCGGTCGCTTTGCTTTGACCCAAATTCGAATTCTTGCCTCCATCTCTGCTGGAGATGGGCTGGGGGTGATATTTGTGAGCTTGTCGCTCTTCTTGACACGCTGGAAATATTGATCGTCAAACTCGGTCGCATATCGCAGGTACATCCTGTACTCAGCATTATTCATGAGTTGCTTGGCAGGGATTGCATTCAACCCCAGCTCTGACCTGGCCCCCTGTGGTGGGACCTAATCGTATAGCCACTTCTTTACCTGGCGTGTTTCTAAGTTGTCCACAGCCATGGGACGTCTTGAGTTAATTTTAAACTCCTCGTAGTACTTGTATTTCGGATTCTTCTTCAGCTCAGTTCCTTTCAGTCCAAGCGCCTCCTTGACATAGTCTTTCGACTTCCCCATTTTTGTCCAGTAATACACTTGCGCCCGCCTGATGAGTGAGGATATATCTCTATCCTCGGTGTCAAGGTCATTGTATCCCAAATTAAGTCTTCGCAGCAGTTTTCCATCGTTGTAGCGAATGGTTGGTGTGATTTTGATAGCCGCTAGCTTGGAAACCTCCGCAGATGCAAGAGCATCGATGCTAATAGCAGCGACTGCGAGAAGCGTGAGCAGCACGACGTGGTAGAAGTGCATGGTCGAACGCGTGAAGTTTAGAAAATTGCGATTTTTCTGGAGACTTGCAATCGAGCCAGCAGTTTGAGAAGTGAAATAAAAACCTATGGAGCAGGCTCAGGAGTCCATTGCACGAGACTCAATTTCGCAATCGGGTGCAGTAAACATTATGTACAAATAATGCTGAAACTTAAAATACTGAGCTCCTTTTTTAGATAAATTCTAATAAAATTTACCTAATGTCAGCAGTAAATAAAATATTTAATCATTCTAAGCTTCTCAAAAACGGTTTTAAATCCAAACTGCACCATGTCTCCAACTTTTCCCACCCAGTTTGAAAATGTCCCGTCCTTGTGGGGTTATTGGTAGACACACTTGACACGATGAAGAACCACTTTTGTCGCTTCCGCACGACGCGGAAGAATGCAAGTGGAGTAGCTGTAGCGCCGTGTCTTGAACGCACGGTTCGAAGCTGCCTCCACCTCGCCCTGAACGTACAGGGCGTACGCCGTATCATCGTGAAGGCCCACCACCGATAATTGACTCGGTGGGTGATGCGCGCTGGATTGTGGAGCGTATCGTTGACCACGAAGAGCGCCACAGCTCGACCGCTCAACGAAACGACGGGATCTGCTGAAACGAGGAAGCGTGGATCTTGGGACTAAAGAAGTATCTGATGCTATGCGACCGCTGTGCGAAGGCAGCAATTTATCGGATCACAATAAGCTCAAAATGAGCGCAACCCGTGTTGCGTTGAAAGAGAAGGCCGTCGCCGTCATTTGCTTCCTCCCTATCAAGCTTCTATCTTTTTATTCATGGAGAAGTGGGAGCAGTGGCGGCTGGATGACGAACTTGTAGCCATCACGCGGCTACTGTGGATGAATCACGATTTGGTGCATGTCAAGCGAGATATAGCTTACATCCTGGCGGCATGCTGTGGCCACTTCCGAATCCCTGGACTGTTGTGGTGATCGTAGCTTTCCTTTCTCTTATTGGATACAAGCTACGTGCAGTCTGCCTGTGAGGCGGCATATTCATTTTTCTCCTTCTTTCTATCGATCACATGACAACCACGAAGTTGATCGCACTTAGAGCACCCATTTTTGAGCGGATCCTCAAAGCACAAAACGAGGAAGCGTGGATATTGGGACTAAAGAAGTATCTGATGCTATAAAATAGTTTGCACCTCTCGTACATGTAAAAACTCAAAACGGTCTCGAGTGTATCTCGGAAAGTAGCTCAGAGCTATACATGTGTACAGTAAAGAGACAGTCCGGGAAAGAGGAAACGTTTAACTGTAAGCACACGAGCGATTACGGTGTGGAGTAAGCTCAGAAGTCATGCTCGTAAACATTATGGATAGCTCCGGATAATATGCCAAGTTTCCAACTTGAATTCTAATAAAACTTACCTAATGTCAGCAGTAAATAAAAAATTTCATCATTCTAAGCTTCTCGAAACGGTTTTAAATCTAATTAGTCGCTTTTCTCTGTCTGCTCAGTTGCGATGTCAATGAGTTGTTGTTGTGGGTAGCACTAACAATATTTGAATATTTTTGAAGCTGTAACAGTCTGAGTCGTTCAATTCAAATTTCAAGCTGTCATGTAGCGGTAATCATGTATTTTTGATAACAAATCCATTTAGAATGCACAATACTGATTTTCAGCTGCTACCACTGGTGTGACGGGGTCACACAGCACCTTGCACAGAGGAAGTGCTTAAGGGTATTAATTACCCGAGTGAACGTAAGTCCACGTGTTCCCGGCCTCAGTGGGAACGGTTTGCTACTTAGAGGAGTAGATTTAAGACTGATGTATTTATAAGTAAGATAAGCTTGGGTCACATACAAACTAGAGGTTACCTTTAGTGAAGCTAAGTAGTCATGCACTGACTGGTTCCGAGAGCACCTGGTACCGTGTACCAGGTGTCCACAAGAGTGACGGGTCACTCTTTATGTAACATGGGGCACACTGGATTGTACCCCGTTACATCCTCCCGCACTTAACTGAGAATCACCTGATTCTCCAATCACAACTGATTCTCCAATCAGAAGTGAGAGAATTAAAACACCAAAATGTGAATTCTCACACTGAGCAGCCACGAGACTGGCGCGGCTCTCAGTCACACCCAGTGACTTGTGCTGCCAAAGCTCACTGGGATTTGCATCCCTATGCTCACAACTGTGTTGGCCGCAAAGCCTACACTCAGAGCTGCCTTAGCTCCTGCGCTAGCGTGCGTACAGTGCTTTGGCACAGGGTGCAATAGCATCCGAACGTGTGGCATTCGTCCACAGTTCGCACCAGAGGAAACGATAGTCCTCGCGAACGCGTTCGGAGCATGGTGTCTCCCGCGAGGGACGACACCGAGAAGGGCAACACCTTCCCCAGCACTAGAGAGAGCTTTCAGCTCACCTCGGGCCATGCCTTTGGCTCCAGCAAGGATCCATCCTTGCGGGCGGAGCTTCTGCCACGCCACGCTCTCTTCGCGTCTTGGTCACCATACCAACGGCGCGAAGGTGTCCTTCATCGACACCGTGTACCGTGGCGGTACACAACCGTGGTGTAGGTGTCTCCCATCGACACCATGTACCGTACGGTAATAACCTTTGGTGCGGTACGCCCACCCCAAGGTTGCCATGTTTAGCGGCAACAGCTTCTGCTGTGCTGTCGCCTGAGCAGATTCATGGCCAGTGCTCGCATCATGCACGACGCATGTGCAAGCACAGTGTACAGGTCCATGGGCCCGTACACGAGGTACGCTGTGTACGACGCGTACCACAGCTACCATAAGTGCTCCGTGCACGTCATGTGTGTCATGCACGACGAGTTCATTACGTGGAACTCCTGGCAGGCCGCTCGACAGCAGCCAGTGCCGATGCACGGTACGTGCGTTGACTCACAGTGTCCAGAGCGCATCGGGTCGTGGTATGGTGCATATCCTTTGCACCTATACCAGTGTCTGTCACAGACACCATGTACCTTGATGGTACTCGACCGTGGTGGGGCACATCTCACCACTATGCCACTGCGGCATTGGTGTCTGGCATTGACACCGAGTACTCACGGGTACCAACCCATGGTGAGGCAAGCAGCCATCACCACGGTGTCATGCTCGGCGCGGCACCAGTTACGACTGCGTGCGTTGCCTCGACCACCACCTGGTCAGTTGTGTGTGCACTCGTGCACCACACTTGGGTTATGGCTCCACGGCCCATTATACCCGGCGCGTTGCGTACATCACGTACCGTAACCGCTTTGTCGGCGGGTGAGACGTTCCGTTCACCCTACTCGACAGGTCGTTCATGACCAAGGGACCAGTGCGTTGATTGCACTAGGCCCGCGCTTCGCCTCGTGTGTGGTTGCTTGCAACCCCAACACTGCTGATTCGCTCAGCGATTCCGAGGCACCTTGCGCCAGTGGCTTTCTTCGCCACTATGTCTTGTTCGGCCAGAGCTACCGCAGCTCTAGCCCGGCTGTTCGCCTCCAGCCTGCAGTCGATGTACATCGACGCCTGGTTCCGTAAGGAACCTGGTCTTACCTCAAGACCAGGGAGGAAAGGTATTTTCCGAGCCTCTCCCCCACTTACACTCGAGACTATTGAGTCTCTCGTTGCTTGTGATAGCCACTGACAGCACGACGGCTACCTGCCTCTTGCAAAGTCAGGGAGGAAAGGTATTTCCGAGCCTCTCCCCCACTTAACCTCGAGACTACTGAGTCTCTCGTGGCTTCTAATAGCCACTGGCAGGCGCAACGGCTCTCCGCCATGTGCACTGCGTCGATATGGTCGACCGCGTCGGCCGTGTCGACCGAAGGCATTCAGCCTTCGCGTCAGCAGTTTTGGTCTGCGCGACTTGACGTCGAGCGAGTTGCTCACGTCCGGCGAGGCCAAGACAACCTCGCGCCTCGAGCCAATGGCTCTGTGTGCGGCGCTATGTTACTCGCCTTGGGTGTGGAACTCTGTTACCCACACCGGAAGCGCATACAGCGACTTCCGTATCAGTTATGGTCTGAGTGACCTTGCGTGGAACTTTGTTACCCACGCTCGGAGCACCGAATGTCGGTCTCCTTAAGCAGCTTCGCTGGTTACGGAACTTGTTACCCGCAGTGTGGACCTATGTTACCCACCTGGTGAATGCCCTTAGGCACCACTACTGTCGAAGCGCATACGGCGCGACGACCTTCGGTGTTGGGATCGGCTGGCGTGGCAAACCCGCCCACACACCGGACAGAGCTGGTGTCCACCGACCGAGTCAGAGGAGTCCGAGCCCTGGACTCCGAGTCGCTTGAAGCGACGTCGGCCTGAACAAGGTTCAGACCCGACTTGCGGCGGCTGACGTGACGTGGCACTTCGTTACCCACGTCGTGATGTCTCGTTGACGACATCAGAGGCACTCGAGACCTCGTGTGGCACTGTGTTACCGACACAGGAAGCATGGACAATGCCTTCCTCTTCAGTTATAGTCTGGGCGACTGCGTGTGGTACTGTGTTACCCACACAGGAAGCGCATTCAGCGCCTTCCAATTAAGCCGCAGGCTCCACTCCCGGCGGTGCCCGTCCGTCAGTTACCCTTAAGGTCAGCGCTTAAAGGCATACTACCACTGATCGAAGCCCGTGCGGCGCGACGACCTTCGGCGTTGGACGCTGCTGGTGTAGCAGGTCCACACGCCGGGCAAAGACCCACGCCCGTGGTATCGCCGCAGCGGAGCATGGTCTTGCTGTACGCAGAGCTGTCAGCGGGTTGACAGCTCCGTGACGCTTCTGCGTCCTGGCGGTCTGTATCAGACGCCCCAGTCATGACGGAGGTGGGAACATGACTCACAATGCTCCGTCATAGACCTGGACTGGTAGGCCTTCTCAGTCTGCACACAAAGTCCGGGCTGTGCCTTATGTTCGGCACAGCCATGTGTTCATGGCGAGAACTGTGAGCGACACCGCGGTGCGCGAGTTCATCGAGCCGAAACGTTCAGGTCCGTTGAGGACCATTGGTACTTCCTTCACCGTACCAAAGACTAGTCCATCAAGGACCAGCCCATGACCGCCACTCTGACGTAGAGTGCAGTCGAATGTCGTTATGTCAAGCGACATTCCGGCGGCGTATCAACGCCCCAGAACTAATCAAACGTTCAAGGGGTACCGTACCCCCGTACACCGAGTGTACTACCGGCAGCCCATCACTGCCCTTCACCGGTTTGAGAGAACCACGTCTCTCTGGGCTAAGTTCCGTGGTGCGCACAACCTGCACACCCATCACGAAGGCTTAGCGCTCTTCAGTAGGGCATAGCGCCTCTACTGGTGGCCGGGGAGTCTTCGTCCACCTGACCGTAGCCTGCGCCATTGGTCTTGAGGCCCACGGGCCGTCTTCTTCCCGAGGACTAGCGAGGGACACACACGCTGGTAGTATCCATGTCCGCCGCATCCATAGCAGCGGACCAAGCTCTCGGCTGAGCTTAAGTCCATGGGTTCGGGCTCGCTGTACGCACCGGTATCAACGGGCTGCGTGACAGCAGGAGCAACAGCGTCATTGCTGCGATGCTCCGCCTCCCGAGGAACGCCATTTTTATCGTGGCGATGTTCCTCTTCCCGAGGAGTACCAGCCTGCTTGTGGCTGTACTCTTCTTGGAGGGCGATTCGAATCGCCTCCTCCATAGTTGTCGCTTGCACCCGGAATAGCTGGGTGCGAGCAGGACCGACCTTCAGGCTGTCCATGAAGACTGTTGTCTTAATGTCTTCAGGCAGAGGATTCCCTGCCAGAGATGCCACCAACGTGCGCATCTCTTGCGCGTACTCCTGCAGCTCACGTTTATCCTGCTTACACGCGAGAAAGCGTGAGCGCTGGCGGAACACATTGTTCGCCGGTAGGAACGCGGCTCGAAGCTGCTCTTACAGCTGAGCCCAGGATGCAAAGCATCCAGGAGATGTCGTCTCCCTGGTGTATGCCCAGTGCTTGGCACGTCCACCAAGGTTGGACAGGGCAAACGCCACCCGAGCTGGCTCGTCCGAGATGAGACCCGCCTTCATGGCGATCTCCACCTCACGGACCCAGAAGTGAAGGTTCTCTCCCTTCTACCCCTCAAACGCGGGGACCTTCAGCCATACCGGCTTAGGCCTGGTTGCCTGGGGAGCGGCCATCGAGGCCTCCAAGCTCCCGCGGACGTGAGCGATAAGACCACGCTCGCAGGTCTCAAACGCAGTCGCGCGTTCTTGTTGCTCGGCAGGCGTCGCCGCCGCCAAGCTGCGAAGGACATCTTGTCCAAAGATGCCTCCCATCTTCCGAACAGACTCATACTGTGAGTCGTTCAAGCGAGGAAACTCGCTTCGGTCCATTTTGGCTCAAACGTTGAGCGCACAGAGGATTCAGGTAGTTCAATCTACCCGCGATGGTGCTGGATTGACTACGAGTGCTACCAAGTGTGACGGGGTCACACAGCACCTTGCACAGAGGAAGTGCTTAAGGGTATTAATTACCCGAGTGAACGTAAGTCCACGTGTTCCCGGCCTCAGTGGGAACGGTTTGCTACTTAGAGGAGTAGATTTAAGACTGATGTATTTATAAGCAAGATAAGCTTGGGTCACATACAAACTAGAGGTTACCTTTAGTGGAGCTAATTAGTCATGCACTGACTGGTTCCGAGAGCACCTGGTACCGTGTACCAGGTGTCCTCAAGAGTGACGGGTCACTCTTTATGTAACATAGGGCACACTGGATTGTACCCCGTTACAACTGGACTCTCGTTTCTCCTTTGTTACAACGTCGCACCTGTGGGTACCACTCCCACTTGTCCTAGCGTCTCGAAATGCCAAGTTTTGTCGTGAAAGGGCTTTGATTCGTCTTAATTGAGTCTGGTCTCATTGGGTATTCCGAAGCTGACCATAATTGTAGGAGTTCTGGACAACGAATAATGGCTGTTTTACATAAAGGCCCCTTCATTTCGTCACAACAGTTTGTCTTGTTTTTGAATTACCATCTCTTCTAACTGTAAGAAATTGGACAAGTAGGACAGCACGAAGCTAATCTGCCGCCGGCTGATATGATGCCCCCAGATGATGGGCATCAGGTGGCGAACAGGCGTGATCATTAACTTTGCGCGTACTGTATGCAGTGCTTGGTGGCTTCCCAGTGGCGATGGACCAGCGGGTGATATACTAAGCCTGATATCCTAGGCTGGGAGCGGAGAACGAAGCTAAAGCCTAAGTATTTCTGTGTGGCTTGATGATCCCCCAGTGGCGATGGACCAGCGGGTGAGATATCAAGTCTGAGATCGTATATTTGGACGCATGAGATGCAGCCAAAGTCCATGGTGCTCCAAGGAGAGGCTGTGCAAGCTCTCATCAAGGAGGCAAACAGACAAGGGCGTAGCAGGAGTAGTGCCAGGTATCGATCTCTTTATATTCAATCACTTTGCAATTTACTTTGTCCCTCATACTTGGTCGTGACCGCCGAGGACACAGATCAAAGCTAGCTTTAGTACTAAATGACAAGAAACTCCGCTGTGCAAGCGACCCGCTGAGCAAGCTACGCGTCGACTGTGCAAATCGACCCTTTCGTGACTGTGCAAGTCATCTGGTGCCTGAACCGCAATGGCTGGGTTCACCATTCCTGATCAAGACGCCCCGCCACCTGGGCCTGCTGAACAAGCGGCTGTGGAGACTACTGTGGTGGTACCCGGTACCGAAGAAACCGGAACTCCAGCTCCAGCAACCGCTGAGCAAGCTGCAGCTGGAGGAGGATCTATCCGTCGCCCTAGCACTCACGTTGTGAGCAACGCTGGAGGCCCCTTTTCGCTGCCTCGTCGAGAATGTGGCGTTGACTTAGATGTGGACATGGAAGACGTAAGCGGCCGCGTGGACGGTGCAGAACATGAGGCTCAAGTGAGACTAC